TATTATCATGTAAGTATATTAATATTAAATTCTTAAATTATAGTATATAATAATGTTATATTATTAAGTGATATATTGTTGTTATGCTTAATTGAGCTGCATTCTTCACACTTCTACACTATCTAGATTCAGCAAAGAGTCCTCAAGCTTGTCTAGTGATTTTTTCTTGACCACTATCATCATCAGAGTTCTCAACTGTTTGCTTAACAGTGCACTTAGTCAGGCTCACCCATTCTGGCCTGCCGGCACGTCTCCGCGTCCATCCCCTCAGCCGCTCCACTGGTGCCAACCGCTTGAGGCCATGAACAGCCGATTCCCTGGAACAACAATCACAACCTTAATATCAAAGTGTCCAACTACTTGGAAGGGATCTGCAAAATCAGTGAAGGCAAGCTTGATGATCATCGACAGTACCTAATCCGGGATTTTTCACTCCAGAATGGACAAACGATTATGCTCACCATGACGAGTAGTGATGCCAAACACACTCCTTGGATGGGCCACAACAGCATAAATTCAAAGCACTCAGCCAATTGAAAACGTGGGGACTGAAAATACTATGCAATGGTGAAAGTACCAGCCACCTACCTGTACGCGCTTCACCCCAATACGCATAACCAGCCAGGAAAGCCAGGTGACGACCACCGCAGCGGCGCCGATGAGGGCGAATAATACACAGTATCTATGAAGACCTCAGCGACATTCTATTAAACGACTACTCGCATGAGAGCTCTCACTCACACTGAGAGGGGAAGTTGGAACGCGTTCATCAACTCCGACCAGACCATGGGCTTGTATTCGATCGTCAAGTTGTAATCAAGTCGGCGGTAATCATCGTCAAAATCGCTCAATTCAATGCCTACCACCAGAAGTAATAAACCGCCATAAGAAAGTACGGGGAAATATGCACATGGCCAACTACATGTGTCGGTGACAATATGGAAATTCCGAGGAAATTCGCGTTGGCTTCTGTACACTTCTACCCTGGTTCACATGTGAACTCCTACAATTAGTCAGGAAACTCGTGAGCTCAGCGTGAGAAAAGCAAACATATATTCCAATACTGCGAGTATCACACCCCGACGTACCCGCTTCAACGATTTTCTTCAACTCCGTCCCTTCCTGCATATACGCTATACTAAAGGCCACACTACGAGGGTACATCCCTGAAAATTTATCAAGACCTTCAACCCCACCCTCACCAGTGTTGGAGATATTACACATGGTCAACTACATGTGCCGGTGAGAAAATGGAAATTCTGAGGAAATTCCGAGGGATGATCATTGGTTTTTGTACACTTTCACTCGAATTCGAAAAATTTGAGCAAATTCCTGAGCTCAGCTGAGGAAAGCGAACATATATCTCTCCAATACTGTATAGGAAACTCCTGAGCTCAGGTGGTGAGGAAAGCGAATATATATTCCTACTCCAACGCTGTATAGGAAACTCTTCTGAGCTCAGGTGAGGAAAGCAAACATATATTCCTACTCCAACACTGTATAGGAAACTCTTCTGAGCTCAGCTGGAAAAAGCGAACATATATTCCTACTCCAACACTGTATAGGAAACTCCTGAGCTCAGGTGCTGAGGGAAACGAACAGATATTCCTACTCCAACACTCTATAGGGAACTCTTCTGAGCTCAGGTGAGAAAAGCGAACATATATGCCTACTCCAACACTGTATAGGGAACTCTTCTGAGCTCAAGTGAGAAAAGCGAACATATATTCCTACTCCAACACTGCCCCTCACAGTTTCTCCCTACCTTCTCGCTCTGCTGATGCCAACGTGACACCAACTAGATTATCAGTGCCAACCAGAGAATCAAAAAGATCTCCTCCGCGTGCAAAGTCCTCGAATGACCTCGGGTCTCTAGTGAGATAGTAGAGCTTCGTCTCTTCCTCAATCTGCAATAACCTCTCACTAACCAGAAGCCGGTTACTCTACCAACCTACCGACATCCAGGGAGTATTCAAATGGTTCACCATAGGGTCCTCATATCGGCAGGGTATGATCAGACTGCATTCATCCGAGTTGGCTTCCATCGTTACTTCCAAAGTAGACAGATCTATGAACAGTGGCGGCACCTGAAGCCCAACTATCCCTTATGCTAACCTAACCTAAGTAACTACACTGACGAGTACAATACAAAATTGAGGACTGAGTGTTCTCAACGACCCCGTGATAGAGGATCACTCAGGAACCTATAATGTTCCCAGGGGGAACTCATTTTGAATTTTCCACGTATGGCTAGGAGCAAATTCTTCAATCAGTTTCCCATGTAAATGCCATCACCCCATCAGGGACATTTCCTCCATTTTTACCAAATCCTAGGGAACATTACTCCATAGGTCCCTGCTCTCTGTAAGTTGAGTTGGTGTTGATTACTACTATCCCCTACACAGCCACCAATCTCACCGGTTTCACGTCCTCTTTATTAGGTATTTTGCAGTTTCCCGCCTCAACTGGTTTGTCTGGGTTCTCCAGAAGATCCCAAATGACTATGTGACTATCGAAATAATCACAACTCGAAAAGAAAGGCAGCCACGGTAGAGCTACAGTCTCGATTTCCATAACATTCCAAAATGTGCCTGAAGACTACGCATGCCTTTCCGCTCAGGAATATATGCTCGCTTTCTTCAGCTCAGTGTGGGAAAGTATGGTCAACTACGTGGTTATGGGAATTCTGAGAAAATTTTGGGAAATTCTCGCTAATTTCCATACACTTCTACCTGAGCTCGTACGAATAAGACTCGGCAGAATTTTTCAGAAATTTCCTGAAAATTTTTCATGTTGTCACAATCATACGCCGTCGAGCATGTGCAAATTTTCCCACACTATCTCAGCTCAGCTCAGAAGAATTTCCTCGATATGCGAGATCAGAAACCAATGAAAATGTACCAAAATTTCTTATATCGACACGGACACATGAAGTTGACCACGTTCATGTTTTCCCGAACTCTTGCGCTGTACGGCAGGCCTGACCTCCTGGCATTTGAGTGCTTGCTATCGTCCGATCCTCCGTGATGTCCTTCTCGTTGGCCATATCCACAACCATGCTTGGATCGCCAGGAGTGTCAGCCAGTCCCGGAGGCATGTTGTATCTACAGTGGGTATCAAATGCGCGTTTATCACAAAATTCACGAAAGTGAACAAGTTGTCGCTATCTCAGTCCTTAATGGTTTATCACATGTTCATAGCAAGGTTTACATTGTTCATGCGATATAGCTTCAGATCGATCCTTACTAACCTCGGAAAATAACACACATTTCTCAAATTTGCATACGCACTATACATATCCCTTTGACAAGTCAAATACTTACGGGAGTTCATAGCCTTTCGCACTGAGCAACTCCCTATTAAGGATAGCCAGGAAAGTCTTCGGCAACCCTGACGATAATTCTCAGGCTCACACGAAGCCGCGTGTTCACCCCAATGTGCCCTATTTGGCCGCATTATATCCATTCTAACTGTTTCGTTGAAGTAGTGCAGATTTTCTAGATGGCTTCCATGCAAAAGGTTGAGGGAAATGTTGAACACAACGTCTTCTTCCAAGGCCAGCAACTTCAGTTCAAAGTCCCGGAACAGTTCCTAAAATGACAACCAGCTCGCCAAGAATTCTGCATCGAACTAATTACGAAGGGCGCAGGTTCAATACCGGGGTCGGACACTTGCAAAAAAATGCAATTATTTTTTTCCGAAAATTTTCGCGGACAGATTTCCTGCAATATCACTATTGAAGAGAGCCTCATATTCAGAAATTTTTTGCTTCAAAGTCGTTCTGTAGAAAATAACCTCTGCACACGAATTCTCGGCAACTATTTTTCAGGGAAAATTAAACTTTTCTAGTAGTAGGATCCAAAATGTACACACCCTGCCTAACACAGCGCTGTCAAGACCGGTAAACCACCGATAGAATTAACGTGTTGGAATATATTTGTTTGCTTTCCTTAGCTCAAGGGTTTTCATACTAATTACGAGAGTTTATATACGACTTAGGAGGACAGACGTGTACAGAAACCGTTGAGAATTTCCCCCAAAAAATCCCCGAAATTTCCATATTGTCGCCGACACATTCAACTGGTAACTATCCCAACACATTTCCTACTCCATCGCTCTCCTCCAAATGGTTGGGAAGTTCATAGCCCTTCTCCTGCTGCAAGGGGCTCAGCTTATTCGACGATATAACTATATGATAATGGCCGCTACTCTGGCTAGTACTCAGCCTTGTGCCAGAGACTATCTTAGAGAATTCCAAATAGACATGCACCTGACCAGGACCATACAAGGAAGGGCTCCTCCCCAGCTCACAATGTCAAAAGCATTAAGCTTGAGGTTGGTAAAGTGGAAAACATTCCTATCCGTATCTTTTCGTTGGTCGAATCCAATGAACTGAACTAAAGTCTCATCGTCCTCACTTATTGGCTCTCCATATCTGATACAATAATTACCATTCCTGTGAACACTCGCTGGACTATACGAAACCAATCAGCCTGGTCAGTTCCCTATCGGCAGCGGAACTTCATAGTGCGAACCAAACAGTTATGCATATCTACATTTAGAGAGTATGGTTGTAGACTACGTAACGCTTCTAAAACGTTGGTGTCAATCGATTTACATTGTTATCATGTTGATATTACTCGAGTTGACCTTCGAACTCCCAAAAATTGAAGGTGTTGAAAATATCACTTTGCATAACGGTTTAGTTCACACTGTAGTCTTAAATTGGGCTCCGCGAGGCCAGTATGGGAAAATATGTATATGGTCAACTACGTGTTTTTTCCGCGACAATATGGAAATTTCGAGATTTCTGTACACTTCTATCCTAACTCGTATATAAACTCCAATAATCAGTAAGGAAACACCCGAGCTCAACTATAGAGAGCGAACACATATTCCTACTCTAACACTGCCTACGACTGCTCACCTATATGTCGTTTTCAATTGATATTCCCTCGAAGTGCTGTCCATCCATTTAACCTCCCTCTCAGGGTCCCATAGTGCAACTTCCTCCCCAGTTCCAGGATACGTTACGGTATCGTTAGCGTAACTAAGAACAGCTAAGATAATGACCATGGGCGAATTCTCGACCCACAGTGCAGCAAGTGCATCACACACAGACTGCTCTACATTGTGCCAAAGCCCGGCAAATACTTCTTCTTTCCTCAACTTCTTACCGTTGCATGACGTAATTTCACGGGATAGTGAAACTTTAAATATTTCCTCATAGTGGGAATTTTCATTATGAAAGTTCCCACTACTGTGAGGAAATGTTGTACACAAGTGTTCATCCTAACTCTTAGTTTCCTATGACACTTTTCTTCCTCGCTAGCCAAGCGTAAACATTATGATCACTATAATACTCATTACTGGAGTTTTACCCGTGATATGAAAAACACTAGCGAAAAACATATTTCACGACCACGGCAAAGCGCGAATATCGCGCTTTTCACGTAAAACAGGTGAAACTTCACTGTGGTGATTATTAGCTAAGGACCACTTGTTAGCGACCCTCATCAAGTCGCTAAGCTAACCCCAACAATTGCTATCTCTTACAGATTAACAACGGCAATAACAACTCCAATCGGTTTGCAATCCTCCGGCTTTGTTGATTCCCAAATTGATGAAGTGCCTGAATGCGAATAACCTCCCATGAATGACATCGGAATATCAACAGCCACCTTCAGGGCATTTCAAAGTGGTCCACTCCGTATTAACTACCCACACATCACCGCCCGACTCCAGCACACCACATGGGGCACACCCCGAGGCGTTCACAGAAAAGGGTGGCACCTGTCTCAGCTCATGCCAAGAGTTTCCTCACTAACTATAGGAGATAACATACGAATTCGGATAGGAATGTACAGCAACGAGTAAAAAAATTTTCCTAAATTTCCTCAGAATTTTCATTTTGTCACCACCATATGTAGTTGACCAAGTGCACATTCCCCCACACTGGCAACAAGGGCATTCAAGTATTAGTCTCAACCGTCTAAGAGCTTACGAATGTCTCGTCACTGCATCGTCTGCAAATTGACCCCGTGTCGGGATCGCTCTGTTGCACGTATCTGTCGCTCATATACAGCAACTCACAGCAGTATCTCAGCATCGCACTCACTTGGGCACGAAATTTCCTTCATTATCTACTACCATCCAAGACTGAACGTTTCTCAATTCCAAGACAACTCCCATGTCGGTAGTGATATCTACGCCGCTAGTTCCTTCAGGACAATACCTAAATATTATTTTGAAATTGAATTCGATGTTCTCCGCATCGAACCAGTTTGTAGGGCAAGTGTTGGCTTCCTTTTTGCTGGCCCCCGTAGCTTGCTTACAGTAGAAGCCCGGGGGACAGAGTAAGAACCTCATCTCATGCAGTGCTGTCAGCGTCTTGCAGTAGTAGCCCGCTTCACACGGGTAGTCGTATCTACAAATATTATTATTAGAAAAAATACATGGCATATACAGTGTGAACCAAATCGTAATGCAAAGTAATATATTCAACACCTACAATTTTTGGTATTTCGAAAGTCAACTCTAAGTAATATCAACATGATAACAATGTGAATCGATTGACACCAACGTTTTAGAAGCGTTACGTAGTCTACAACCATACTCTCTAATTAGAGAGAACTAAGATATGCATAACTGTTCGGTTCGCACTATAATTATAGATAGATTTATCCAAAGTTTCATCATAATGATAAAATGAAAGAGATTTTGTCACTAGTATGTTGTAAGTATTAAGGATGAGATAAAACTGTAGACTGTCATAAACACTACTGTGTATATGACGTAGTAGAGTCGCCGCATGCAAAACCTTCCGGACAATCATTCGCCTGTGAAAGCTCATAGCACAACGAGACGCCCTGAGAAGCAGACAGACCAAGGACCACTCGATTCGGTCTCAACTCACGTCCTCGTTCGGAGTGCAATCAGTTTGCTCTTTCGGGGC